AGGTCATTCCCGAGAATTTTGACAGAAACTTAACAAACCTTGAGCGAAAGAACAAATTTCTTCAACCTCGCTCGAGGTCCATCTCACTTCGCGCGAGTTTGTCCTTCTTCTTCAACCTCCCACCACAAATATTTTAAATAAACCTCACATCCACACACACAGAGACTAGAGACCTCAAAATTGACATAATAATATACTCAAGAATCAAGAATAAGGAACACACAAACAGTAATCAGTTTTTCTATTTTTCAAAGCATGAAATACACAAGAAACAAACTTAAATCGATGCAATGTAATTCTTGTATTCGTTCATCCAAACATCGGAAAACAGAATCGATGGAAAAATAAAACATTAAACTCCTCAACAACGATGGAAATCGAAGCTCTAGCATTCAAATCAATAGAAAAGAACAAAAATTAACAGAGAAGGAGATGGAACGAAAGCGATTTCAAACGGATAAGATGATGGAACAGAAACGATTTTGAACAGAGAAGAAAAAGAGAAAGAGATTTTGAAAGATGAAGTAATTTGAGCATTCCAAAAACTCATGAACATCATTTGAGCCAATTTCCCGATGGTTTTTTTGTTTCCACCCCGCGGATGTTCGTAGAGCTCAAAACCCTAACGTAAACCCTTACTCGAGCTTTCACAATCCTACTCCGTAATGGCTAAAAATTCATCGAGAATTTTGCTATGTTTCGTTCAAAAACGTTTCATCGGCAAGGCTTCTGGTTCTACATTGCCTTCGTCTTCTTTGTATACGATTGAATTCCTCAAGAATTCTTGTGGGCTTGCTTCGGAATCTGCTCTCTCTGCCCATCGAAAGCTTCAACTCGACGAAAAAAACTCCCGTAAGTACGAATAGGTTCTTAATTTATTGAAATCGTATGGATTCGAGGGTTCGCAGATCGCTAAGTTGATCGCGAGGCGGCCTTCGATCCTCCAATCGAGAGTCGACAACAATCTGAAGCCTAAATTTGAGTTCCTCGAGGAAATTGGGTTCGTCGGTCCTTTACTTCCGAAGTTAATTATATCGAACCCTATAATTCTGCTCAGGGGCTTAGATTCTCAGCTGAAACCATCGGTTTGTTTCATTAAGGAAATGCTTGAATCCAATGAGAAAGTTCTTGCCGCCATTCGTCGATCTTCATGGGTTTTAACTTTTGATTTTAAGGGTATAATGCAATCTAACATTGATGTTCTGCTCCGTGAAGGGGTGCCTTCCAGGAATATATCGAAATTGATTGTGGTTCAGCCAAGAACTATCATGCAGAAGGTTGATAGAATGATTTTTGCAGTGAATAAGGCCAAGGAATTGGGCATTGATCCAACGACCCTCATGTTTGTTCAAGCGGTTCGTGTAATGGTTTCCATGAACGACTCAACTTGGAAGAAGAAAATAAATGTTTTGAAGAGTTTGGGATGGTCTGAGAAGGAGATTTTAACAGCATTTAAGAGAGATCCATTCTGTTTGGCCTGTTCAGAGGAGAAAATGAGGGGTGTGGCAGATTTCTGTTTCAACACTGCAAAGTTGGACCCAGAAACTGTGATTTCTTACCCCAAATTCTTCATGTATGGACTCGACAAACGGCTCCGGCCGAGATATAAAGTTCTTGAGGTTTTGAAGGTGAAGAATCTGATTAAAAAGAACAGAAAGATTGCTTGGTTGCTAATCCAAGGGGAGAGAAGTTTCTTAAAGAATTATGTTCTTAAATATTTGGATAAAATCCCAGATCTGATGGATATATACCGCGGCAAAGCAGCTGCTGAAACCAGATCTGTTTTATAGTTGTAAGTTCAACTTTTGTTGTAGCCTAATTTTGAGCACAATTATATTGAACTGGGAGAGCTCTTTCGTGCTATTGAGGCTGCTGGCTAATGCTTTTCCTGTTTCAATTAACACTGCTTCTTGAGCTTATCAAGCTCTCTCCAATGGGAGAGCTTTTCTCTTCCAATTTGAGGCTATTGGCTAATTCTTTTACTATTTATTTCTTGGTCTTATTTAGTGTTCTGTTTGATAACCTAGACCAACATCGTGTTGTTTTGCCAGTTGAATCCCTATAACTGGGGTGTTGGCGGCCCGCCAACATTGTAACTGACGTTGTGGGACTCATCTCGAATAGGGGAAAAAGCTCCGGCAACGCGCCCCGCGAGGCTCGAACCGGGGAGGGATATCTTCATTCAGCCACAAGTCCACTACGTCACTATACAATCTTATTTAGTATTTAGTAGGTAACCTAACGTTCATAATGTGGTTAAATTTTTTGAAATGAAGATCGACTTTACACTGATGCAAAATCCATAATACAAGAGTAAAAAACTATACTAAAATTCCTCAAGACCTATAGGAATGAAAAATAAATTAATCTTGTCCTCTAATCTTTTGAAAGGTGGTCATTTGCCTAAAGGTGGTATTTGAAGTAACCAGAAAAGTTGTATTACCATTTTGGTTCTCATGATTTGCGTTTGATTTCAATTTGACGCCTCTGTGATTTAGTTATCTCTCCAGACAAACTTTTTGTCATTATAAGATCTTAACCGTTTTCAATGAGACAGCTCGAGAAAATGTACCATGTAAGAAAATTGTTAGTACCTTATATTGAACCGAAGAATCGTTCTCAAGCGTTTTGTTGGTATAAATACAGCCTATCTTCTGCTATATATTATCAATAATGGGTGTTACAGGTTTACAACAGGGATGAAAATTTGTATGCCTAGAGTTCACCAATAGTCTCCACAAGAACAGGTTCCATTTTTGAAATGATGAAATCTATGCATATCCCTCACTATAATCTCCCTTCCAGTCACAAGTGAAATATACTTGGTTGCATTGTGGCAATCTCCACATACTCGTAGGTTCTTTCGAATGTGTATCGTAGTACCGTGCCTGGTATTCAAAAGACCAAAAGCAATGGCGAGCTTCTCGCTATGGCTGTTGAGAAGTTGCTCCTGGACGTCGTCTTCTACGTCATGAATCAAGTTAGTGTCGGGCACATAACCAGCTGCCCTGATTTCATCCCCAAGTTCCTCAAGAAATGCATATATTCTCTTGGATTGTGGATGGCTTGTGCTGCCTGAATAGAAGGAATGGACCTCATTTCTCAGTTCCACTAAGCTGCAACCAGGAGTTTTCTGAAGCCCTTTCTTCTCCATTGTTTTTCTTACTTCAGCTACCTTGCTCCACTTTGAAGCTGAAGCATAAATGTTTGCAAGTAGAACATGGTAGCCACCTTCATCAGGTTTCAACTCAAAGAGTCTGTTGGCTGCTTTCTCTCCCAATTCGACATTTTTGTGAATTTTACACGCACCCAACATGGCACCATAGACTGTAATCCCCGGACTAACGGGCATGTTTTCGATAAAATCCCAAGCTTCGTTGATTCTGCCAGCTCGACCGAGAAGATCGACCATGGCGCCATAATGATCCATTGAAGGCTCTAATCCATAATCCTGTTCCATGCTCTTGAAATAGTGGAGTCCTTCATCTACCAGACCTGAGTGACTGCAAGCAGAGATAACACACAAAAATGTTATATCATTTGGCTCAACTGTTCCCTTCTGCATTTCGTCGAAAAGATCTGTAGCAGCTCTGCCGAGTCCATGCGTCCCATACCCATATATCATCACATTCCATGTTATGACATGCCGATCATCAATCATGTTAAAAAGCTTCCTCGCCATATGAACTGCTCCACATTTTGCATACATATCGACAAGAGCGGTCATCACGAATATATTTTTGTCAAAACAAGTTCTAATAACTAGTCCATGAATCCACTTGGCCTGGCGAGTAACCGATAATTCAGCAAGAGCAGGTATCACACTCACCATAGTAAATGAATCAGGTTTCATACCTAGAGATTGCATCTCACAAAAACAATTCAAAGCCTCACTCACTCTTCCATTCTGAGCATAACCCAATATCATTGCATTCCAAGAAACATGAGTTTTTCCATGCAAGTTCTTGAAAATTTCAGAAGCAACATCAACTCTCTTACACTTGGAGTACATAGAAATCAATGAGTTCATAACAGATATATCAGAACCAAGTTTCAACTGATCCACTAAATTATGAACAGACTTCCCGCTCTCAAGATCACCCAAATCAGCACAGGCATGCAATGCTTGCATAACACTTACATTGGTTGGCTCTATCCCTTCCTCCAACATCTTCTCAAAAATTGCCATAGCCATCTCTGGCTCACCACTCTGTACATACCCATCCATCATAGAATTCCATGACACAACAGTCTTCTGATCCATTGCATCAAAAATCAACCTAGCTGTGTCCACAGACGCACATTTTGAGTACATATCAACCAGAGCAGTTGAAATATTCACAAGCTTTGCAAACCCAGCTCTAATGGCGTACCCATGAATCGACTTCCCCACCATTAACGACCCAAGATCAGCAGCAGCAGGCAAAACAGTAACCAATGTAATCGAATCAGGCCTCCGGCCTTCATCTTGCATCCTCAAAACCAACTCCAATGCCCTTCTAGCAAACCCATTTTGGGAATACCCAGCAATAATTGTATTCCAAGACACCAAATCTCTCTCAGGCATTCTGTCGAACATCTTATACGCATCCTCAATCTGCCTACATTTCGCATACATATTAACAACGCCAGTCATCGCGAACAAATTCGCCCCAAAAGAATTTGCAATCAGCTGCCCATGAATCTCCTTGCCCCTCTTTAAATCCGCGCAATCGCCACAAACCTTCAACAAATAAGTGAAATTATACACAACAGGCTTAACATCATCGTACCTCATTCGACAGAGAAACTCAATAGCAGTCTCCAGCGACGAATTCTTGGCGTACCCTTTGAGCATCGTGTGGTAGAGAGCGTCGAGCTTGCCCTCGATCGGCTCGAAAACGCGAGCGGCCTCGTGGATGCTGCCATAGTTGCAGAATAAGCTGACGAGCTTGGTTTGAAATAGGTGCTCGTTGTAAAGGCCGTTTTTGATGATCAGAGGGAGTATTTGGTGAAGTTCTTTCATGGAATTGCATAGCTCAAGGAGAACGGCGGATGGGTGCCTGTAGACATGGGAGGGAATGTGGATTCTTTCTGAAACAGTGTGGACCGGAGAGGACGACGAGGGGATGGAGAAGGAGCTTGGTTTTGTTGATAGGGTTTGATTGTGAGTTCTGGCAATGGCGATTGGAGGAACAGAGGAGACGGACAATAGCTGCGAGCTCATCTCCTCTCTCTCTCTCTCTCCTTCTGCAGAAACGGCTAACGTTTACTGTTTATTTATTTATTTAATATTTGAACAAAAATATCTCAAGTCCAATCCAATTTATCTTAGATCGAAAAGTCATGATTCAAATTTTCGCTACTTGAAATTTTTTTTGTCACCTTAAAATAATGACTAATTAATATATTTAAATTGTCTAGTCATACTCCGTAAGTTGATAAAAGTTATAATTGGTGGATAATCAGTGAAAACAGATTCATGGAAAAATTATATTACATTTTTTAAATTTGAAAAATCTAAAAATATAGTTTAACTAATTAAGACATCACTGCTAATTTTTTTGTTGTCTTAATTAATTGAACTATGTTTTTAGATTTTTCAAATTTTAAAAATGTGATATAATTTTTCATCCAATGACACTATAAAATTAGTCGTGTGGATTATATGTCTTAATTAGTTAAACTATATTTTTAGATTTTTCAAATTTTAAAAATGTGATATAATTTTTCGATGAATCTAATTTCACTAATTATCCACCAATTATAACTTTTGTCAATTTATGGAGTATAACTAGACAATTTAAAAATATTAATTATATCTAAATTTTTAAAATATCATAGACTAAATTAGGTCAACTTGAACATAGTTAGTTAAGACATATATAAGGTCGTAGATTCGAATTCTGCCATCGTATATTGATGTACTAAAAAGATACGGTAAAATACACGGATGATCCATGATATTTGAGTTAGATGCCTTTTTTAGTACAACATGTGAGTGTGGGGATCAAACTCACAACTTCGTTTTGACTAAGTCATACGTCTATTTGATTCGATAAATTTCAAAAGTGATATTTTAATCCTTAAGTTTGAAAAATGATTATAGCAGATCCTTATGTTAATTAATGAAAATATGATAAGATAGTTAACTTGCTTAACGGTCTCGATAATTTAAAACGATTTTTTAAATTTAAAAAATCAGCGTGTCATTTTTAAAATGTCAAGAAAAATAAAATTGTATTTTAGCTAAATTCAAGGGCGGAAAGAAAAAACACATTTAAGAATATAAATAAATACCTTCGAAAAATTCGATGGCTTAAAATCGCCGCTATATATATTGTCTCGCACTCGCTTACCGCCCAAAGGCACTGCGAATGCGAGACTCCCAAAAGTAAAAACCTCAGGCGGAAGAACAAGAACAAAAATAATTTGGTTGCTTCCAAAATCTTCTCCAGCTGCTCAACTTCTGCTTGGATTCAGAGCGAATTCTTCAATTAATGGCGGATTTGCAAGATTCCACTCCTTCAACCTCGTCAACTTCAACCCCTATTCGATTCGAAGAAGCCGAAGAAGGAGAGCACGTTGAATCCACAGATTACTACTTCGAGAAGATCGGCGAACCGGTTCCCGTGAAGCTCCATGACTCCATTTTTGATTCGGAAAGTCCTCCATCCCAGCCTCTTGCTGTGTCCGAGAGTTTCGGCCTCATATTCGTTGCCCATTTGTCTGGTTGGTAATTTCAATTTCTCCCTCATTGTTTCAAATACCGTTGATTTTTCTATGCATTTCTTTGATTTTGAAGAACCTCGTTTGTTAAGGGTTTTTTGTGGCGAGGACTGAGGATGTAATTGCTTCGGCTAAGGAGATAAAAAACGGGGGAACTGGTTCTTCTGTCCAAGATTTAAGCATCATGGATGTTTCCGTCGGAAGAGTTCACATTTTGGCACTTTCTGCTGATAGCTCCACCATTGCTGCCGTTGTAGCTGCCGACATTCATCTTTTTTCAGTTCACTCGCTGCTTGACAAGGTAGTGCTTCTCGGTGGAGCTTGTCCTAATATCACAGTACAGTTTCCCTAAAATGTCAGTTTGGTTATTAGCATCAAGAGGGAAAATGTCACAATCATTGGTTATATACATTACTGAACTAAGTTACTGTACGAAGTAATTACATGGTCTTGTTTTGAAAATTACAGTAGTCTTCTGATGAAAACCTCTAACTCGATTTATCAAAATCTTCTGATTTATCAGCAAGTTCCCCATTTATTCGAAGCTGTGTCATTTCTGTTGCCAGTGGGGGTGGTTTTTTTTTTTTTTTTTTCAATTTATATTTCTCGCACGTCATTTTCTTATATTTTATTGTGGTTATGCAGGCAGCAAAACCCTTTTATTCTTGCTCAATAACCGATTCCAGTTGCATAAAGGACTTCAAATGGATCAGAAAGTTGGAAAGTTCTTATCTGGTTCTTTCAAAACACGGACAGTTATATCAAGGATCGGCTAATGGCACTCTTAAACATGTAATGCACGATACTGATGCTGGTATGCTATACACTTTTATATAGTAACTTATGTATATGAAGATTAGTGGCAATTTCAAGTGGCATTGGACAAGTTTCTTATGTTTTAAATAAAATTAGGTTAGGACAAGTGTTTTTACATTACTGGTAAATTGGGCTTGCTTATCAAAATACATTATTTAATATTGAAACATCACATTTTGTTGCTTGTGCATCAACCTTTTTTAAGTAATAACCCGTTTATATTTTGGCCTGTGCTACAACATGTATATCATTATATGCAGAGGTTGTATGTGTTGAGCTACAACCTATTAAGGTTGTATATCATTATATGCAGAGGTTGTATGGGTTTTATTTAATTTTTTAACAAAAGCAATCTATTAACATTAATTATTGTTAGCATAGGTTGTATGTGTAGAGCTACTATTTTGAACTTTTTAAAATGTTATTTTGGATTGTAGTTGAATGCAGTGTGAAAGGCAGATTCATTGCTGTGGCTAAAAAGGATACTCTTACCATTTTCTCAAGTAAATTCAAAGAACGGCTGTCCATGTCACTCTTGCCGAGTGACGCTGATTCAAACTTTATAGTGAAGGGTTCTCTCTCTCTCTCTCTCTCTCTCTCTCTGTGTAAAAATGATATTCGTAAAATGCTGAAACACGAATTTTTTGTACATTTCATCATTATTTTTTTGGGTGATATTTCTTATATTTTACTAGTATTTTTGTGATTTATTCATGAGTGGAGTGCAAACTTAGTATTTCAAGGTTGGTTACATGCGGAGTTTGAGTCTTTGGCTTGGGATGAATTACACTTGCATTCTATCGTAGTGAATTTGACATATATTTTTGTGTG